TACGTGAGGCAAAATCATGTATGGAGTACACTGTGTAAATCTATTTATCTAAAAAAGAAAATTGTTAATTGTGCCTCCAAATTTGTTCATTAGGCGAAAAATTAATTACATGACTATATAATTCTGGTTAAATTTCGGCTGACAGTGGGTATAGCTAACAAAATTGGGGTACAAACAATAGCCATCTTTAAAAAAGGTTAAAATATTAAGTAAGTGAGCGTTATATACATGATTTGTACATATGAGGCAGTAAATAAATAAGTTGATTTCTCAATGTAAATTGAAATCGGCTGCGAAATAAATGTGAAATGTGAATGTTTCTTAGTGTAAGATATGTATGGGAATATAGAAGTTCTTTTATTATTGAACTTTTTCTTTCTTTATCTATCCTTTAAAATGGAACGGATTTCTCTGAATATTAGAGAAGGCGCCAAAGTTTCTGTTTTGGGTTCTGTTGTAGGTGAAAATATCGCTCAATCACTTTTGGGAGAATTATAGAAGACTAAACGACTTTCAGCAACAGTTCTACGAGTAGCACTAGGTAATAACTGCTGGATAATTTGTCTCAATTTGCAACCAGAAAATGAAATTGAGGTCTCATCGGGCCGTATGAAGTTTGTGGCTTTTCCACAACTAGTTCAGATACTGATCAAAATACGGATGATGAAGAAAGAACAAGTGATAGTGAAATGGATAGTGAAATGGATATTTCAAGTAATACTGATGATAGTTCTGAAGATGGAGAAGTCATAAACGTTAGTAATATTAATAACGTACGATGGACCAATAAAGTTGTTACTATTGATCCTCGCCAAGTGTCCCGCTCCTATTCTAGCACACCAGTTGTACACATTGCTGATATCTCTAAAGCAACACCCAGACAATTTTTTGAGCAGTTTATACCTGTTGATTTTATAATGTCAGTGGTAATTCCATCTACAAATAAGAGTGCGCGTGAATGTGAACGTGGGTGAAGTGATTTAACATGGATGGAATTTATGAGATTTATTGGCATTTTAACGATTATGATGTATGTAAAATGTGCTGATATTTGCGATTATTGGTCTATTAAACAAGAAACAACTAGAGTTTCGCTAGCATTTGGTCAATACATGTCACATCAACGATTTCGAAATATCATAAAATATTTGACATTAACAGATATACCAGCAAATGATGATCCTTTTCATTTTGCATGGCAGTTTCACGATGAATTTAATGAAAATCTTACAAAAGCTATCCTACCTGGTCCTTACCTTTGCATGGATGAATAAATGTGCCAATGGATGGGCAAAGTTGATAAAGGTCCATTTCAACAAAAAATACTGAGAAAGCCGCATTCAATTGGATGTGAATTCAAAGCTCTTGCAGATGCTCAAATTAATTTGTTCTTAAGATTAGACCCAGCAGAACCTTTGGAATGTGCTATAAAAAAAAAATTTTTGGATCAATACCCAGCAACTGTTGCATCTATGTTAAGATTAGTCTTTATTCTATTTTACAAATAAAGAAGCGTCGTTATTGGCTTAAGAATATCCCTAGTGATATTACAGATGTACTTAGAGACACATATAGATCATTGTTAGTCGAATTTCCAAAATAAATAATGTTGATTTAACTGTATGCTCAATTCGTGATCGCAAAGATATTGTACTTCTTGTCAGTTGTTCTACGACAATGCTCAGAACAGAAGTGAATTGATATATTAAGGTTATGGTAATGCAACATTCTGTTAACCTGTTGTATTTGATGAGTATAATGAATTTAGATCAGCCGTAGACATACTTAATAATTTGCGTGATAATTCACTTTCTTACCATAATATTCTTGGATCAAAACGCTCTGCAGATCGTATTTTTGCCTTCTATCTTACAGTTGCAGAGGCAAATAGCTTCTCTGCATATTGTAGATTTGTTTCAGAAAAGAAAAATATGAAACACGTTGATTTTCGCAAGCAACTAGCAAAATCGATCTTTAATTGTTATTCAAACAATACGATTGCCGATCAAACCAAAAAAAGACGAAAACTGGATTCGGATAATTTTGAACATTGTCTCACCAACCTTAGTAGTGATCCTGCAACCTCAAAACTCAAAGGTAAATATGTACAATGCCGATGTATAATTTGTTATAAACGTATAACTACCTATTGTAGCTGTACAGTTTTATGAGGAATATGTACAGATTGTTGGGCCCAGCATATCCATTTGACATATACTACAAAGTTAAAAATTTTTTTATTCATTGCCCAAGGTTTATTTTATCATTTTCTAAAAAAAATTTTTAATTTTTTTTTATAGTGAGTCAACTGATAACTTTTAATAGTGTACTAAATTTAGTACACTCATATTTGCTAAAAAATGATAGTTTTTAAAATTATTTTTTCTTGATATTTACATTATAAATAAAAATAAATTTTATATTTTTGAATAAAGCAATATATATTGATTATTAAATATTAAAATTATTTAATTTTATTAAGTTTTGGTTTCTTAATGAATTTTACAAAATGTACTATTTTTAGTACAAAACTATAAATCCAATTCATTAATAATAAAAACTTAAAGTTAAAATACTCATTTTCATATTATAATTATATAATATGATTTTTTAACCAAATAAAGTTCATGTATAATATATTAAAATAAAATTAAAATCTCAAATTCTATTAAATAGATCTCAAAATATGATTATAATTTTATTAATAATGAACTCATATAGTAAAATAACTCAATTATAGTTATACAAAAAATTTAAATATAAAAATAATCTGTATGTGACATGTCCAGTGTATAATATGTCCAAAAATAAATCTAATTTTTATATGATTATTAATTAAATAGCATAGGGAAAATCTAAATTTAATAATCATTATTTATTTATATATATTTTATATAGAATTTAATTATATTATGATTGATCATATGATAAGTCATACAGTAAATATTACTAAGTAATATATAATTAAACTTTGCAAAATTATTCTCTGAAGCTATTTCTTTTTTTAAAATCAATAATATCCAATAACATCTGATATTTTAGAGAATTTTATATAAAACATTTTTTTTAATTAAAGAAATATATCAATAACCTTGATAAATTTAAGCTGAAATTTCAAAAGTTATTCTAATAAAAGTATTTAATTTTAAAACATTAAAATTTACTATACTTTGAATTCTTTACGATAAAGTTCTTTATTAATCTAATAAGAATTTTATTTATTATATTATAAGTAATATCATTAAGTATTAATATAACTAAGTATATTTATAAATTCTATAGGTACTTCTTGACTTCTATTTGTTTCTACTTTTTACACTGTCTCATTTTCTTCTTCTATTAAAGTTGCATTTTATTCATTAAAAGTAAAAATTTAAATACATTTTTAATCAATCTAAAAAGAATTTATATTACTATAAATTTACATTTATAATATTTTTCACAATTTTGATATTTATATTTTATAATTTGATAATATTTAAAATGATAAGGGCTATGACATTTATTATGTAATATCAGTTTGATATAAAGTCTGACCCTCTACCTCTATATAAGATAATTAGACTATCATGTAATACTAATACTTTTGAAAATTATTTTTTGTTAAGGAGCAATAAAATTTTACTATATTTAGTTAAATACTTTTATGCAAATATATGCCTTTTTAATATATTAAACTGTGAAGGGTTTGCTGTTTTAATATAAATTAAAGAATTTTTATGTTTTGATTGCTGTTTTAATATAAATTATTAAAAAATTTTCATGTCTTAATTGCTATTTTAATATAAATTATTAATGTTTAATATATCTATAAAAAGAATTTTAAAAATTTTGTGTCTTAATAAAAAAAGATTTTGCGAACTTAATTGTTACCATAAATATATCTCAAATTTTAATTTTTAAAAATGAGCCATCAAACATACTTTTACAGCCTTAAATTTAATAAAAAGTTAATTTATAATTTACCAAATAATAAATATCAAGAGTTTACTAATGCATATACATATAGTACTATGTTAAAAACAGGAAATAGTACTCCAAATCATATTATTCTTTGTAATAAAGCAGCAAAAAAAATGGAGGAATATTAAAAGTAAAAGTGTTATCGAAATTGATAATATATAATTAAAAAATATATGACTACTCTGATTAACCCATATTTTATACCAACAATAAGAGCAAACTACTCTAGACCTATAGTAGAACTAACTCCCCTTCTAACTGTTAATCTAGTTGAACCTATACTGGAAATTTCTAAGAATGCATCAATTCAAAAAAGATAGCTGATGAAATTAAAATATCTGAAAATCTTGTTGAATTAAATCAAATTTATAGCATCACAACGGACTATTAGATTAAGCATGATATATATTCAAAAATTGAAGAAGCTAAATTGGAAATTAGTATAAAATTAACAAATTAAAATAAAATACAAGATATATATAAAATTGCAGAGCAAAGAAACTTAAAATGCTTACTGAAAATCAAGAAGTAGTTCGATATGATTATTCTGGCCACCCATCACTACTTTTTGCACATCTTGACTTACATAATCAAATTCATGACTCAATTGAATTTGGATCAGCTGATTTAAAAAGAAGAAAAGAAGTAGTTAAAGTACGGATCATTGAAAATTTACATAAAAATCTTGAAGAAAACTATAATGTATACATAGCACAAACAACACTAAACAATTATCTCTTACCTAAACAAGCTAATTTAATTATTGCAAAGGCTCATCATCATCTAGCATA